TATGAGCTGTGATATCAGTCATAGAGTGAGTATGGAGAAAAGGGCAGAAGTCTTCCTAAAGCTGTATGGTTAATTGCTAACCAAAATAGAATCACTTGTATTTTCAGACATATGACACAACTCTTTCTCAGAAACATCCTGCTGGAGTGACAGAATGTTACATTAATTTACTTAGCTCTTGATGGATTGATATATCTACAACTAAACAAATGGGGCCCCAGTTTGGCTAGACATTAGCTTAACCTGGACAAGAACATCTGCCCTTTGCCCTCCATGTTCTGTGACTAATGGCATAGCTGGTAAGGTACTAATTATAACTATTAATTTTATAAAAAATTACTAGAGGTAACCCCACATTGGGCGCCAAATGTAGTAGATTTTTACTGCATGGATACTTAAATCATTAAATAAAGCAATTTGACACATTGATTCTGATTGACAGCAAAGTTGGGGTTTATTGTAGAAAACACTGAATCTGAACAGCACAAAAACCGAATGAAGAACCCGTCCTCTCAATCTATCCCCTATTTATTTTATATCATAAATGTACATCAGAGGTTTGTACAAACATAAGCTTGTTATTGCAAAGTTTTCACACAGACCCCATCTCATACGCCCATATTGCTGATGCCCGGTTCTCATTCTATAAGATAAACATGTCTTCCTTTCCCGAAAGAGCAGATCAATTTGACCCAAACTGATTCCTGTTATTTGGTAACACAAGTGATTAACATACACCTTTCATAAAAACTCTTCAATCCTACAGTATCATGTTAACATTTTATACCAGTATGTGCAAACAGTGTTAAATAAACATTGCTAACCAGCATGTCAGTTTCATGTCAGTTTCACATTACATGATTATTCTGGTAAAAAAATAATCCTGCAATAAGTCTCTTAAGCTACACTGGAAGTGCTAAAGCTAGCTGCTAGTGTGATAAGAATCCACAAATATTCACAGAGTTCAACATAAATAACCATGTAATCCAAACTTCATGGCAACACACAAGGTTATTTTTTCATGTTTGCATGACCTGCTATGAAATGTTTGAGATTGGAGTTGTTGTAAAAGAGTAGCCATTCATTTTGGTTCTGTCCTTGCTCAAACTAGCCATTAACTTATCAGTTTGTCAGAATTACAAATACATTTCTCCCAACTGAGGTTAAACAAAGAGCAATCTAAAATGGGTAAGACGATGTTCATAACCTTTTCATAGAACCCAACTTTAAAGAAAAAACAGAACTGTAGTTTTAAGACAGTTTAAAGGGCACAGAGCATCTTTGATACATTTATCACTCCTATAGAGATTGTTACTCAAGAAAACATGTGGACAAGAAGTATTGAAAATAAGGACACTGTGTCAAGTTTGACCTTTTTTTTTCAGGCTGATGATACCACAGTGGAGCCACCAACTCAAGCAGCAGAGCCACGAGCTGATTCAGAACCTGAAGAGCAGTCTGATGTAAGACCAGTCACACACACAAACACACACCTCATTTGTTGCAGTTCTCTATTAGCTGCCCACTCCGTCCATGTCACACTCCTTCATGAGCGTCACTTTAAATCACATTTGTCTGGACAAACGCACATTTGTGTAATTTTGTTTTAGAAAATCAAAGTATTATAGCATTTAAAATGCTCCTAAATGCATTTATTATGACATTTACATTTCTGACCTACCAACAAATATTTAAGTTAAAAAAAGTTGACAAAAAGGGGTATTACACAAAGTATTTGCTTCTATTTATCATACATAAATTGGCAACATTTTACAAAACGGTTGCATGAGTTTGTTTAATGAAAATGTGTGTGCATGATCCTTCTCCGGGCACAGAGTGACTTTCAGCCCCGTGTGTGTCAGCAGCCAGAGGTCGTGAATAAATGATGTGGGTGGGTGGAGTTCTGGTCCCGCAGCTTCAGTGTCTGTAAAACCAGTGTGCTGCTGGGCGATCGCCTCTCAGGGCATCATTTGCATAAAACTATGAGTGGAGTCACATCACACCTTCTGTTCTCTTTTCCCCTCAGGAGGACAGCTACGAATGAACCGTCCCGAGAGCTTCACAATCAGAGATCAGTGATCGAAACATTCCATGTCGCTCTGCCAAGTCCCCGTTGTGCCTCGTCTTTGGTCCATTTTGGAGTCTGTGCCTGCGCGTCTCTGTTGTCTTTACCCGTCAAAGTGTGTAAATGTAGAGAATACGTGTGTGTGTGTGTGTGTGTTTGGTGTGTGTCATTTGTGACCAGCTGTCATTTTACAGTGAGTCCCTCCCACTGAGAAGGCCACCTGATCACAGTGTGTGTGTTGTGTCAGATGTGTGGCTCCATCAGAAACACAGTTATGGGAGTATATCACAATCTACAAACACCTAAGTGTCTCTGTATGAACGAACAATTTACATAGATCCACCTGAAATGGAAGCATAATAATAATCTCTATTTTTGTGCTGTATCCTGTCAATGTTTCTCTGCGATGGACTGTGCATTCATATTGTGTTTTTTAGTCATCTGAACTACTCATCTTTAATGCTCTGTCATGAATTTGTTTGGACTGAAATGTTAAATAAAATATATAAAGCATGGACTGAAATACTTTTGCAGAAATCCTATGAAATACACTCGATCCTATTAAATTCAAACTTGTGCATCCAGTTCATGAAAATCACTGACGTTTTATGCTGTAGCCAGTAAACCCTGAAGAAAAGAAGAGTTCAAATTAAATATATTGTTAAACTATTTAATTGTCTAACATTCTTTGGATGAATGTCTTTTACCCACTGCCTTTCATCCAGAGTTTTAAACCATTGTTTTATGTTGAAAATTAGGAAGTTTTTCTATTTTGGTCAAACCTTGAAAACATAATTTGAAATATGTGACATCAGGAAATGTAAAGAGTATTGTGCAAGAGTGTTATGAACAATTCTCAGTTACTATCACACCAGATTGTGTCTCAATATCTGCAAAACTGAACAAACTATAGCCATTTTTGTGTTGGCTAATGTTGATTAGCTGTGTTGTTCATGTTGGATTGTGTTAACTCCCAAAGTTAATTAGCTATAGATGTGCATTCAATAATATGTATACATATATATATATTTTTTTTTACTAAAATCAGTACATTAGTCCATTACATATTTTGCTAACAGACAGATAACGCAAAAGTTTTGAGTAGAAATCATCTACAAGAGCAGCACAGTTCATTCATGCGTTGTGAATGACTCATCTACAACTTACCGGCAACTTAATTTTAGCACAATATCTGTAAAATCGTTAATGGCTTTATTGAGTTCACAATAAAAGTTAATCATTTGTAGATGTACCTCCAATGATCATTTCCTGAGTTTCACTGAAATTTGTCCAGTGGTTTATGAGAAATTTGGCTGAAAAATACTGTCGACTCCTAAAGAAGTTAATTAATCATTTTGAACAAAGATCTTTTACAACCTGTTAGCACTCGGTCTGTGTGCTGGAGAGGAGTCGCAGCTACTCTCATGAGAATTTTTTTGTTTGTTTCTGTAAAACTGTCTGAGCTATAGCGGTTTATTTTTTGTCATTTAAGGTCATTGGCTGTGGCAGCCATTTTGAATTGGATTGATTACAAAAGTCATGCATGTATATGTGTATTCATGACAAAATTAAGTTTTATTTTTTGTGTGTTTCATGAAATATTTTGTTGACACATAGACACACACAAACCCATTATCTGCTTTTGTCTTCCTGCAGCGAGCATTATTTAAAACACATTTGTTACCTTTGTAACTGAAGACGATTTATAATTTTTCAGTCTCATAGCAGCACGAGACAGAAGAAACAACTGACTGCTGATCTTTTGCATAAAATTCTCATTTCTTTGGACATTGACACAAAAATAATCCCAATCCCACCAGCTGAATCAATAATTTTGTGTAGGATGCCATTGATTCTCCATGTTTTGTGTGGCAGGATGAAGAATGATTTTGCCAGCCGCTTTTATTTTACTTTGTGAGCTGTTACCGATCAGTTCTTTTACTCTTTTATTCAAAAGTGAAAATGTTCCTTAAAAAATGATTAATTCTCTTATTACCACAAACAATTTTTGGCTTGGAACAGGGGCGATTCTAGCATATGCCCTTTAGGGGTGCTTAGCCCCCAGTGCTTACAATGGCTCTTGGCTTGAACAATGTGGTGGCCATTGGCTTCAGAAGCATTCTTATGGTTGTGGGGGGGACACACTGGTGCGGGGGTCTGGGGGTCCTCCCCCAGAAAGTTTTGAATAAAGTAGATGCCATTTCTTGTATTCTGGTGTATTTCAACGAGTTATCTACGTTTATCTACATTAGTAAACACTTGATTCAATAACAATTTTAGAGTTAATGGCACAAGAAGTAGCGCTAAGCTAGCAGTGCGCAAAACAGACACGCTAGCTAAGATGTTACAGACGGAGCACTCAGCTTTACATTACACAACCTAATAAACACTTTGTACAAAATCTGTTTAGTGGTAACAGATTTTGTTGCATTCAATCATAAATGCAATAAACATAACCCAAACCCAGATTTATATATATATATATATATTTTTTTTTCCCCCCAGGGGTGATGCATTAAAATTTAGGGGTGCTTGAGCACCCCCAAAAAGAGGCTAAAATCGTTAATGGCTTGGAAACAGAAAGAAAATTTCAGTTTTCTTCATTGTTTTGATATAAATCGCTTTTAGACTGAGTTCCTCCTTTTATAAACCTCTTCCAAATGTAAATTTATTTCAATAACAAATTAAGTGGTTTAAAGAAAAGAATGAAAAACCAACGTGCTTCTGACAGAATGTGCAACACAACTAAGACCACGTCCTGTATTTTAACGGTGACGAGATGATAAATGAGCCAACATTGTCAAGTTGTCACAACACACATCCACAATCAAAATACTCTGATGCAAGCTGTATAAAGTTTATTCAACAGGAAAGAAATGAAAACAAAACCAAATAAAAGAACAAATTATTGTTGTATTTGACATGGCCTTTGCTCAGTTTCTGATGGAGAGACCCAGTAAAAACTACACGTTTGGATTTCGTTTCTTTAATCTCTTCAGGGCTTTCCATTCTCCCTCCTGAGTGGCCAAACTGCCGAGGAGCACCTTCACCTTCCTCTTCCTCTCCGCATCCCTGAAACACAACGTGCATATAAATTAAAGGTTTAAAGGAGGAGGGGGGGCTTTGGTCACACCTACAAAGCTGATTCATTGTTATCCCCACCTGCTCATGGTTTCGTTGAGCTTTTCTCTGGCCAGGAAGCGTGAGTCCTTCCTGATCTCCCTCAGAGCGCCCTTGAACTCTCGCTTGTACTTGTGCTTCAGTCGCTCCTTTTCTCTCTCCTCTCTGGTGCAGCCGCGCTTCTTTCCATAGTCCAAGCTATCAAAAACAAAATGAATTACTCATTAAAGCAGATGAACGTGTCAGCATCTTCTTGTTTTCCTGTTTTTCATTTTATTTCACTGGACATTTGTTTTCTAACTACAGCAGTCCCTCGCTACTTCACGGTTCGTTTATTGCGGACTCGCTCTATCGCGGTTTTTCAAAGTAAAATTGGACATGACAAATTGGCTGATTGATGGATGAGCCGCACGATCGGCATGGAATTTTTATTTAAAATACATTATTTTAAACTATTTAGCACCTGCTGCACCTGTGTGCAGCCCATACTGCAGGATAAACTTCCTCCTGCAATTGTGTGCACAGATGAAGAAGCTTCCTCGTGCAGCGTGTCATGATCTCGACTCTGCAGTGGAGAAGTGGGCGTGGCCAAGGCGCTGGCAATACAAAAATAAACTACTACTTACTACTTGTATTATTATTCCTACTTCGTG